AAGTTAAGGAAACCTAATCCTACCGAGATATGGAAATAGGATAAACATCAAAGTTAGGAGTTATCTACTTGTGTTGTTTATTAGGATTAGGATTAGCAAACTCTATATAAGCATGTCGAGTTATGACATTCAATGTGTGTGAGTTTTGGTTTTGGAGAACTTGAGTTTTGAGCTAAGTTTCTCAAGTTATCAATAAGAGAGATATTCTTATTTTGTGTCTTTGAAGTTCTATAATTGGTATCAGAGCTACAAAGGAAGCATGGGAGATATTACAGTTGTTCCTAAAGAAAAGGATGGCAAGTCCTCGTCAATCAAGGTTCCGATGTTAAACTCAACTAATTACACCGTATGGGCTATTCGGATGAGAAATCTGCTGAAGGTTCATAAGGTCTGGAATCATGTTGAGACAGCAACGGAAGATGAAGAGAAGAACGAAGAAGCCATTAGTTTGCTATTCCAAGGAATACCTGAAAGTCTAGTATTGCAAGTCGGAGAATTGCAGACCGCAAAGAAGGTGTGGGACGCAATTCAAGCAAGGCATGTGGGTGCAGAACGTGTCAAGGAGGCCAGATTACAAACGTTAATGGCTGAGTTTGACAAATTGTCAATGAAGGAAGCTGATAAGATAGATGACTTTGCTGGCAAGTTATCTGAGATATCTTCAAAGAGTGCTGCCCTAGGAGAAGAAATTGAAGAATCAAAGCTAGTCAAGAAATTTCTGAAGAGTCTTCCTCGAAAGAAATACATACAAATAGTGGCGACACTGGAGCAAGTGTTGGACCTCAAAACAACTAGCTTTGAGGACATAGTTGGTCGTCTAAAAGCTTATGAAGATAGGGTAACCGAAGAAGAAGAGACCAGTGAGGACCAGGGAAAATTGATGTATTAGTAACGCGGATTCTAACTATACGCGTGAAACCTATGATGAGAATAGAGGAAGCAGAGGACGAGGTGGACTATTTAACAGAGGAAGAGGCAGAGGACGCCAGTCTGGAGGCAGAGACACATCAAGGATAATATGTTTCAGGTGTGACAAGATGGGGCATTACGCCTCTACATGTCCAGATCGTTTACTCAAACTACAAGAAGCTCAAGAGCAAGAAAGGGATAACACACAGAATGCAGACGAGCTTATGCTACATGAAATAGTGTATCTAAACGAAGACAAGGTGGTTCCTAGTAGGTTTGAGTCTAACGACGATCAAGCGGACATGTGGTACTTGGACAACGGAGCCAGTAACCACATGACTGGAGAGCGACGCTACTTCACAAGCTTAAACGAGTCAATTACCGGAAAGGTCAAATTTGGGGATGATTCAAGGATTGATATTAAAGGAAAAGGTTCCATTGAGTTCATTGATAGGAATGGAGAAGGAAGAACCATGAGAGACGTTTATTATATTCCAGACCTCAAAAGCAGTATCATCAGTCTCGGACAAGCAACTGAGGCTGGATGTGATGTACACCTCAAAGGAGAGACCTTAACTATGCGTGATCAACACGGAAAGCTCCTAGTGAAGACCATAAGATCGCAGAACCGACTCTATAAAGTGAAGATGGGGATAAGAGATAACGTGTGCTTGCTAACTACAGAAACCAGCAACTTAATAAGGTGGCATGCGAGATTGGGACACATAAACTTCGAGACAAAGAAGTCTATGGTGCAAAAGGAACTCGTGGTTGGAATACCACAGATTAATGGGGAGAAGAGAGTATGTGGATCATGTCTACTGGGAAAGCAAACACGGCACACCTTTCCACAGGCAACATCATATCGGGCACATAAAGTACTAGAACTGGTTCATGGAGACTTATGTGGCCCTATAACACCAAGCACACCGTCTGGAAACAAGTACATATTTGTACTTGTAGATGATCATTCCCGATACATGTGGACGGTATTATTAAAGGAGAAAAGTGAAGCTTTCATAAAATTCAAAAGGTTCAAGGAGATGGTTGAGCAAGAGTCAAAGAAGAGAATGCAAATGTTTAGAACGGACAGAGGAGGTGAGTTTGTCTCACAGGAGTTCAACGAGTTCTGTGAAATCTCAGGAATAAAACGACATTTGACAGCTCCATACTCGCCTCAACAAAATGGAGTTGTTGAGAGACGAAACAGAACCATGATGGAGATGACCCGGAGTCTGCTAAAACATCTCAAGCTTCCTAACTACTTATGGGGAGAAGCAGTGAGACACTCAACTTATCTCCTAAACCGTGTGGCCACTAGGTCCCTCAAGGATATAACACCATACGAAGCTTACCGAGGTAACAAACCCAACATGAGCCACATACGTATTTTTGGATGTCTTGGTTATGCAAAGATTGTAAAACCTCATCTAAAGAAGCTAGAAGACAGATCGCGAGTGCTTATACATTTGGGGACTGAACCAGGGTCGAAAGCCTATAGAATGTATGACCCTCAGACACAAAGAATCGTAGTAAGCAGGGATGTTATTTTTGATGAAAGTAAAGGTTGGAACTGGAAACATGAGAATTCAGAACAGAGCAGTGAGTCATGCGATAGTTTCAAGGTTTACTCTGAAACTTCAGACAACCATGATATATGTGAAGGTACAACAGATGATTCGAGCAATGAATTATCTCAGCAGCCAAAGAAAATTGAAGAAAAGATTGAGATAGTAACATCGGACGAGGAAGAAAATGATGAAGAAACAGAAATAGAACCTGAAATAAGAAGATCACAGAGACAAAGAGTCACACCAAAACACTTGGACGATTATGTCTTGTATCTCACAGAAGCAGAAGAAGAGGGAGAGTACTTGCTTATGTGTCTTAATAATGAACCAAGATGTTTTGATGAAGCAAAGAACTCAACAGAGTGGAGGATTGCGTGTGAAGATGAGCTAAGGTCTATAGAGAAAAACAGAACATGGACGCTAGAAGATCTTCCCATAGGGGCAAAGGCAATTGGACTTAAATGGATATTCAAGACTAAGAGGAACTCAGACGGAAGTATCAACAAATACAAGGCAAGATTAGTTGCAAAGGGGTATGTACAGAAACAAGGAGTAGATTTTGAAGAAGCTTTTGCACCTGTGGCAAGAATAGAGACGATCAGACTACTTGTGAATCTTGCAGCTGCAAATAACTGGGAGATCCATCATCTGGATGTTAAGACAGCATTCTTACACGGAGACCTAAAAGAAACCGTTTTTGTCACTCAACCAGAGGGATTCGAAGTGATTGGGTCTGAGAGAAAAGTATACAAGTTGAGCAAAGCACTGTATGGATTACGACAGGCACCTAGAGCATGGAATCACAAGCTTAATACTATCCTTACAGAGCTTAAGTTCACCAAGTGCTCAAAAGAACCATCAGTTTATCGAAGACAAGTTCAAGGTGATCTTCTTGTAGTAGCAGTCTATGTTGATGATCTGTTCATTACAGGAGCAAACATACAACATATAAGAGAGTTTAAGAAGGAGATGTCGGCAGAGTTTGAGATGAGTGACCTTGGGAGGTTAACCTATTACCTTGGAATTGAAGTAAATCAACATCAAGAAGGAATCACGTTGAGTCAAAAGAGTTATGCTTTGAAGATCTTGGAGGAAGCAGGAATGAAGAACTGCAATCCTACGCAAGTTCCTATGGATCCTGGCATGAAACTATCAAAATCACAAGAAGAAAGGTCCATTGATGCAACGAGTTATCGAAGGAACACTGGGTGTCTAAGATACTTATTGCATACACGTCCGGACTTATCTTACTGTGTCGGAGTACTTAGTAGATACATGCAAGATCCAAAGGAATCCCACGGAGCTACAATGAAGCAATGTCTCAGATACCTACAGGGGACAACAAGCTATGGCTTATCATTCGAGCACTCTGGTTCAAGAACGACGCAACTTACAGGCTACAGTGACTCAAGTCACAACGTAGATCAAGATGATGGGAGGAGTACAACATGTCATGTGTTTTATTTCGGTGGAGGGCCAATAACTTGGTGCTCACAAAAGCAAGATACAGTTGCTCTTTCGTCGTGTGAGGCGGAGTTTATGGCCGGGACAGAAGCTGCTCGTCAAGCCATTTGGTTTCAGGATTTGATTGGCGAGATTGGTGAGACGTTGTGCAAGAAGACTGTCATACGGATAGATAACCAATCTGCCATAGCTCTCACGAGAAATCCAGTGTTTCATGGACGCTCAAAGCACATTCACACTCGATATCATTTTATCCGTGAATGCGTTGAGAGAGGTTTGGTAGAGATCGAACATGTTCCTAGAACACAACAAAAGGCGGACATACTGACGAAGGCGCTGGGACGGATCAAGTTTGGTGAAATGAGAGATCTCATTGGAGTTAAAGATTTGTCAAGCATGGAGTTCAAGCTTAAGGGGGGGAGACTGTTGAGATAAGCTTGAAGAATACAGCTTGAAGAGAAAGTTAAGGAAACCTAATCCTACCGAGATATGGAAATAGGATAAACATCAAAGTTAGGAGTTATCTACTTGTGTTGTTTATTAAGGATTAGGATTAGCAAACTCTATATAAGCATGTCGAGTTTTGACATTCAATGTGTGTGAGTTTTGGTTTTGGAGAACTTGAGTTTTGAGCTAAGTTTCTCAAGTTATCAATAAGAGAGATATTCTTATTTTGTGTCTTTGAAGTTCTATAGTATCAACGGTAATTCAGCTCGATCTAGGGATTTAGGTTTAAAACTCCAGAGACCTGACTTCTTGTATCGAAGAACATAATCAAATTCGACGCAAGGTTCACGTATTGATGACAAAATCGAATCAATGCAAGGCTTTAGAAAAACCCTAGTTCATTAATTATAAAAAAAAAGCTGCTTCTTAAGAACAATATATCATCACCTTATATAGGTAATAAGGGGTGGTTATATCTCGAACCCATCTAGAAATAGGAAAAAATTATAAAAGGAAAAAACATATCAAGAAAAGGAAATCTCAAAAAAACCATCGAAGAACCATTGTTGTTTGGCGGTGAAGGTATTGTGATGCTGCATCGGGAACTAACGGAGAAAAGACACTTTTTAAAACACATGGAAACACCACACACAACGCCATTTGCATTGCTGGTTGTACTTACATAAAGTAATACTTTTAACAATCTAAGATCCTTGAGAAGCAAACACCAATAACAGAAGGCCAAAAACATCCACAACTAGACTTGATCTAAGAACCCACAACTAGCACCTAATTAAAAAGAGAGGAAAAAACAACAAAATGTATCCTTCTGAAACACTGCAATGGAATTCTTGTGGGATAAATTAACATAAGAAGCAAATAATCATCTTCCACTTATTTTACATTCAAATGGTTTCTTAAGTACTCAGAAGGCATTATTCTTACCAATAAGCCATAGCCAACCCAAAGAAGTTCCTACAACTATACCTCCTGTTACAAAAACCACCAGCAAGTTCCCTAACGCATTTTTCTCTGGACCCTTCACAAAAACAAAACGAAATTTTCTTCTAACAAAATCAGAACAAATCCGTAATCTTTATCTAATAAAAAGTTCAAATAGATTACCTTGTAGCCTTTAGGAGCAATGATAAGAATGCAAACATTGAGATGTCCTGTTGTCCATCCCAAAAAAGAAACAAGCATAATCATCCATCCTTGATCACCATACTTCGCAGTGAAATAGAAAGCTGGGATGAGGAAAAAACGTGACAAAGTTGCAATTGTGAGCCCTTTTCTGTTCTCAAACATGAGCCATTTCACAAGCGGCGTGTACCTCCCTACCAAGTTCCCACAGTTATACATCCCTACTAGGACAAGTGCATACCATGAGCCTAGCCCGTGTTGTCCCGTGTTCTCATATAAGAACCCCGGAAAAATGGATAATGACAAAATGTAGATGAGGGCTAGATTCATTGCATAGTCTATATTTTGAAGCAATATCTGTTTTTTGCTTAGCCTTTGATAGGTGGAAACATCATCAGTCTGCATGAAGAATCAAGAAACTAATTAATGAGTAATAATAGTGAAGAAGCTTTCTAATCAAAAAGTTCAGAAAATGAATCAAGAACTTTTGAGGAATCTGAATTTACCAAATATGATTGACTTTTAATACCAGCAGCAGCAAGATCAGCAGTAACAGTTTTAGATCCTTCAGAAGCAGCTTTTCTTCGATAATATTTAACAATGGGCAGTTTTGGGAAAACATATGCATAAAGCATCACGCAGAGAAACTGTATCAATGCTGAGATTGTTAAGAATATCACTGCAAAAAGGGAAATAAACAGGAAATGAAGTTCGCAAACACTTGGAAACTCATATGGTTTTCAAAAATGTTAAACTCACATGCTCCTTTCCGTAAACCGCTGTTTGAGTTCTCAAAGGCTGCTTTAGTCATTAACCTAAAAGCTGAGGTTAGAGCACCAGCTACACCCAGGCCAGCCATGTATGACTACAAAGAAGCATGAAGATGTATCTCTAGTAAACTTTGTTTAATGGAGACCAAGATTTTGTCATACGTTACAAATGTAAAGAAACTTTGATTGTGGTTAACCTACCTCTAGAGTCAAGACCGTATCGTATAACCCTAGAACCCAAAAAAATAAAACTCTCTAAATGTGAAAGAATTCTTGAAAATACTTATAGAACTTAGAATGTGACACTCTTTCGTTGAGCTTGTTTCATTTCACTTGTTTACCTTCATGTACATGTTACAAATGAAATAGGAAAAAGCTATTTGTAGGTTTTAAAAGTACAAAATATCTTGCAAAACTTTCTCTTAATCTCTAAAAATTTCTAGCATAATATCTTGATGTTTTATTAAAAACGAAATTTCTAGAACTTTTTAATGAGGTGGTGAAGTATTTCTAAAATTTTGGAACTTGGGTTGGTTCAATAGTAAACTATTTGGCTATGAACCCAAAATAAGCTTTATCTTAACTACCTGGATTAGTTGAGGGCACATCAAGGATAAATCACCGATCATTCCTCCTTGAACGGTAGCATCTGCGAGGCCTAAAGAAGCAACGATTGTGCATAAACTGAGATACGGTCCGATTCCACCACGTCCTTTTGTTGCCAAATCCAACTGTTTTTAAGTTTATTAGAATCATCAGTCCGAAATCAAGATTCAGTTTCTTTATTGTAAGATAAAAAGAGATATTAGGTTTTAACTTACAACTATTAGCAATAACGTGGATATTGTGAATATAATGTAACCGATCAGGTTACGTTTCCGGGTATTGATTTCCGATTCGTGGTATGCAAGAATCACAACTGTTACAAGCGCAAACGGCTGGTATACAAGGGTTAGTACCCTTGAAGGATGATAATCCTACAAACAAGATACAAGTTTTCAGCTATTTTCTTAAGATAACCAAAACAAAACATTAGATTTCAACTTTTTCCTAAACCAAAATAGAATTGACCGAACGGCAATAGAATCCGAACCGGGAAGACATGGTAATAGTAGTCTGCAATAGTGAGCAGACTGTTCCAAGCAACGAGACCTCCGATTCCAAGAATACAACATATAAGCTTTGCGTGAAACTTCCCCTGTTTTGTTTTAAAATTTAAATGAAATTCAGCCATAAACAATTTTTTTTTTGTTTTGAAGTATATTAACAAGAAAAGCCCTTTATAAAAAAAGTATAATCACAAGAATATTTGGGTTTTATGTTCAAAGGAAGAATATTGGGTTTTACATTTAGAAAACAATGAAACATCTTTGGATCTGAGTTTTGGGGGTTATGAAAATTTACCTGGAGCGTCTCAGGAGCTTGGTTCTCGTATCTATCCGCCATTTTCAGATCGTTGCAGATGGCTCAAAAGAACATTATAAACCCTGCTTCAAGATTTACGTATTGTATCGAACTCATGAAGATGATTTTTTATTCATTACTGGGTCAGCACATGCTCCCATGGATGTTAGAGTTTAGCAAAACCTCCTAAGGATTTTATAGTCAACACGTTTGTTGATTTTAATACAATCCAAGCTATCATGTAAAATCAAAAACAAGATTCTCATAACGTGGAGGTGAGCGAGTTGAAGGATTGCTTGAGATAGACTGAATCTCAAATTATTAGAAAAAAAATCCAAAGTTTGAAAGTTTTTTAACAATCCATTTGACAGCAAAACTTTCCCCGGGAATAACGAGTATCGTAGGTTTGACTGCATATTATCATCAAAATTATCACATGTTTGTGAAAGAGAAATTACAATCTTATGCTGTCTTATTGATAACCAATCGATTAATATACATTAAATCATATGCTCTAGAATAATATCTCCTCTCACATAATAACTTACTAGATGATAACCCGCGCGCATGCGCATAGTAAACTTTTTATACTAATATTTGTTCATTGAATGGTTTAACATTTTGTAACACTACAGTATTTATCGAATCTAAAATGATGAAAAAAAATTTTGGTATCTTAAATTATTATTGGTCTGGACGTTTGGGGCCGCGTCGGTTTTGGTTTGATTGAGACGTACTTTCATATTTTGATATTATGCTCATAAATCTCATTCGGGTTTTACTAATTATCGGGGTGGATTTGGTTTGGTTCTTTTCCTATTCAGTTTGGATTGGATTGTAATCAATATCTGAAATCATCCGAAAATATATTTTTTTAAACCACAAAAGTTGACAAAAAATTCAAAATATTTAAATTATTCATAAATCTAATTTAAAATTAGTTAAACTATCTAAACTAACTAAAATATATTTAAAAAACAAATAAGAAAACTAAAAAAATCATTTGAATACTATTAAAATATAAAAATTACATTAACATATAGAAAAACATTAAAATATATATTATACATATCATAGTTCAAATTTTGGTTCCGTTCAGATTATAACCAAACGCCAAAGTACTAAGTTCATAAGTCCACCTCGAATATTTTTGTATAACGTCTCGGATCCAGATTTGGTTTTTCCGGTTTAGGTTTAGGTATTTAGTTCGGCTTAGGGTAAAAGCCCCAGACCTAATGTATAACTTATTTTAATTATTTTTAAGGCTTCATATGCACAAAAAGAAATTAATTTTTGCGATAAAATGATAAAAAGGGATTATGTTTTCTACTCTCGATTTGTTTACTATCAACTCTTCATAAGTGATTTAATTTTTTACCTTTATAAAATTGTGCTTTCGTTCACGTCTCTATTCCATTGATATGAGTTTTGTTTTTGTTTTTAAATTGTTCTTAAATTTGGTAAATTACATAAGTATCAAATTAAAAAGATGGACATGTGTAAAATTTAGTTACACTCCAGATACATATCTAAGAATCAAATTTTTAAAGAAAATCGTAGGCACTCTATTCACAAGTTAGTGTCCAAATCTAATATATTAAGCTGTATAGAATTTAAGTGCAGGCTCAAAATATAAATGTGTGTCTAGTATATATTTCCCAGTTCAGTCTAAGAATCATATAAATTTAAAACAACAAAACAAATTACTTATTTTATTAACCTACACTTTTAAGATTTAGTTTCTTAAGGGTATACCGATAAAAATATATATAATACTTTACCATTCTAGTATATATATAAAACATGTATAAACTAACAATTGTTTGCTTTATTAAATAATAAACAATAATTAACACTTATAATAAATAGTTCAAATATCTCATTGTTACAATTATAATAGCTAGATATGATATTATGGAAACACAAATATTAGAGAAATAATCAAATCTATAATCATTCGAACAAACTCAAAAGAAGGTGATTGCAATCATGCCATGATATTTTATTAAAATAATTTTAGGAATAAATATAAAGACTAAAATATTTAATCTGAATGAAATAATATATATATACATAATGTTTCAAATATTAAAATTTTTATCCATTTTAAGAATTGTATTTCTGGAACTGTCAAGATCAAATAATATATTAGAAACCACTAAATTAAAAATTAATCTGTATACATAAAAGTATATATATTAGAGTACCTTTTGTTAATTTACAGTCGTGTTTTCGGTAAATAAATCAAAACAAGCATTTTATTCACTTTATATGTATATAATTAAAATTTAGTGATATTGACATATATATATATATATGTAGTATATTTTAATATAAATATTCATTATTGGCATTTTGATTCATATGATTTTATTAACATTTTTATGTTTTTTGTAACAAATATTGAAACCGTTAATCACAAAACTCTTAATGCGGATTTTCCCGATGCAAATTTCAGAAGTAAAATATTAAGATCTTCAAAGTTTTCATTGAAATTTTTAAATTAACATATTTATATAGTATATAGTATATAATTGGATTTAAGTGATATTAATATATATATATATATATATATAATATGAATCTCTACTAATGAGATTTCATATTCGTACGATTAATGATAATTTGTATCTTGCTTGGAAAAACAAAATTTAACCATTGATCATAAATTTTTCAATGTGGGGTTTTTACTATTTTTAGTAATTTAAGGTCGTTTTAAAAAATTTAAAATGACCATATATGTAATGTGATTGTTCAATTTATTTTAATAAATTAAAACTAAACAATAAAGAGAGAGGCCACCAAAATATGTATAATTCGTAATCATTAATTGCATATATATGTTTAATCATATTAGCTAATTTCATATCTTTTATTTAAAGAAATAAAATTTATTGTTTTGTATACTACTAATCATTTTAATAGTTAGTTTAATAAAATACGATAGTATATATTTATATGACCAATTTATTTTTCTAAAGATTCTAAAAATTGTTTTGGTGATAACACGTGGCTACAAAAACATGTTGTAATGTTCCAAAATTAATATATAAAGGATATTAAATCATACATTTTATGATATTTACATGCTCTTCTCCTATCACATGACATATACGATACCTATATTATACAATATACCTTGACCATGACAGCTTTTAAGATATCGAACAACCCAAATACCAGCATCTCAATGTTTGGCCATAAGTCAAACTAATTGCCGTGATATTTTTGGCTGGAGCTATAAAAAGTGTGGGCAATACATAATTAAATCTGGATATTAAATACCACACAATATATTGAAAGCTGATGAAGAGATAGCAATCTTCGAGTCCAAAATAACCAAACTTCAAATCTTTGATTGGAAAATAAAACTTTCTCAGAAGATACACTACCTTAATTGGCAACTAACATGTCATGTGACGGTAACAAGAAATCTTACACATCGTCGTATACAATGTGATAACTATTATTTAAGATGTGGAGAGCCTAATGAAACTGTTACTCATGTTATTTATGAGTGCCACCAGCTTCACATGCATGGTCATTATCAACAACATCATCTAACCCGAATATATTACCAGCCCCGAATATCTATGCAAATATGGATTATTTTTTTAGAGATAAAAATAACATTGATGATCCAAAACTTGACATGTATCCTCATCTCTGAATTGGTATGTATATAGAAAGTTCAGAATGAAAAGCTATTTAGGGTCATAGAAAGGAAACAAAACTTAGGTTCACCCCCTAAGATTAACCTTTAAATTTACCTCTCTATCAATGACCAATCAAAATAACACGTAAATTATTAAATAATAAATATTAAACTAAATAAAAAATAGCTAAAAACATAATGCTATCAATTTTAGAAATGCAAGCGCCGCCAATTAAACCTTAAACCCTAAATATTAAATTCTAACCTTTAAATCTAGACTCTAAACTCAAACCCTAAACCTTAAACCAAAATCCTAAACCTTAAACCAAAATCCTAAACCCTTAACCCTAAGTCCTAAACTCGAAACCCAAATATTAAGCCCTAAACTCAAACGGTATACTCTAAATCCAAACACTATACAACCCTAAACCCAAAATATATACCCTAAATTAAAATCCTAAGCTGTAAACCCTAAAGCCAAATTTTACCCTATACATAAACATTATATGGTCTGGGTTTAAAGTTTAGGGTTTACGGTTTGGGTTTACGGTATAGAATTTAGGTTTATGGTATAGGGTTGGGTTTATTGTCTAGGTTTTGAGTTTAAGGTATACAATTTGGGTGTAAGGTCTAGGATTTGGGTTTAGGATATAGGATTTTTGGTTTAGGGTATAGGATTTAAGTTTAGGGTATAGAATATAGGGTTTAAAATTTAAAATTTAAGGTTTAGGGTTTTGTTGGCAGCGTTGGTGTCACTGAAATTGATGTTATTAATATTTTTAGTTATCTTTTATTTAATTTAATAATGTTTATTAAGTAATTTACATGGCAATTTTAGTGGTTATAGAATGAGAGGTGAATTTAAAGGTTCACCCTAAGTGGTGAACTTAAGTTTTGTTCATAGAAAGGAGCCCCTTGGAACTGGTTAAATATGTAGAAAGCTGAATGCCATGGATTTTACCCACTTTTAGTCATGGTATAGAATTATTGTAAAGATATATTTACTACGATATAGAGTCTATTTAGAGTATTTACAGGTTCTTGGACGTTTTGGAAAAATGGTGATTTTGGTGCCTTTTAGAGCCTTGGATGGTAACCTTCCCACAGTGAGATTGAGCCCACATTTCTACACAAGATATAGCTTCGAGTTACATTTCCAATGCCACGGTTTTGAAGTCAATCAACATCTTGTAGCAGAAGTTCTGCATGTTTTACTGATGAGTGGTCTATTTGCCTCACGAGACGAAGTTGTCGAGGAGATGAAGGAGCATCGATTGATGGCACAGCCTTGGTGTCGATCGATGGTGATCCCAGAATGCGGCATGAGTATATTTAAAGACAGGCTAAGGCCTAGAAGCAACCACAAATTACCAAGATTCACTTTGACAACTTGAAACCCTATTTATGTGTTTTCTAAGCCATTGTTGATGGCTACACTTTCTTTACTTTGTTCTTGTTCTAGTTCTAGGAGAGAAGGGAGGAACTCCTTCATATTCCTCCTGGAACTCCTTTGGTTTCTTGTTTT